AAGTATTTGACTAAAGTGACCGGGATGAAGGCATGGTCAAGATCAAAAGGTCAACCTTTGACCTTTGGTTTTATTGGATGTGTGCAACTGAGCTGTTTTGATTGATGAAGTAATAGCATGATCAAATGAAATATGAATATAGATGAATGTAATATAATTTAAAGTAGGGCATGAAAAATGTCATATGACTTTAAAATAATAATAATAATAATAACAACAACTGCCACATCATAAAATATGTTGATAAAATTTTAATGTAGAATCAAAATTAGAGAATCTTAAAGAAATTTTTTTTTTTTTCGATTACTTTAAATTCTTCAATATGACATGAGTAAATTAGATATTAACCTTATAAAAATAATAAAATAAAATAAAATTTTATTAACAAATAGATTTGATTTTAGAAGATTTCAAATAGTTATATAATCATGATATGATCAAATAATATTTGTTGAGATTTGATATTGGAAAATACATTTACCTATCACATTTATTGATAACAATTTATGCAAATCAATTACATTTTTATTTTGTATCAATTTAATTTTAATATGTCTTCTTTATTTTAATCCACTCAACTTTATTGAGTATAGATTTGTATTTGTTTTTGAAATATTCTCTTAAATATTTTCCACACAAAAAAAATCTCCCGTCACAATTAGGGGTGTTCATGGGTGCGGGTCGACCCGCAAACCCGCCTACCCAAATCGAACCAACCCACTAATTATCCGGACCTATTCATTTACGGGTATACCCGACCCAACCCGTATAGATTTGGTTCGGGTATTGGGTTTTAGTTTCTAAACCCATGAACCCGTTGACCCAACCCGTTGACGTGGCACAATTAATTATTATTATTATTATTATATTATTATTTATAAATTTTAAAGTTGCTATAACTTTGTAAATTGTAACGTACACAAAGATCTTTTGCACTTTCCTTTCAGTTTCCAATCACACCTTAAATTATTATTATTATTATAATTAAACATTATTATTAATATTAATCATGCTTGCTTGACTTATGCACTTCTAGTTTACACTTTACTGCCTTTTTATTTTTTTAATGAATCTTTATTAACTAATAATAATTAAGTATATATTAGAAACTTACTAAACTAAAGACAATACCACTTAACCTAACCCTATTTTTTTACTACGGCAAATCTCAAACGTCACCACTCCTCTTTCTCTCACGATTTTTTTTTTCATTTTACTCTCTCACATTCCAATTCCATTTTGCTTTCGAAAATCCACAGTCTATATTTTGACTCTCTCATAGTTTCGTCTCCATATTGAATAAGATTTTATACTTTTTATAGTTCTACAATATATTTATTTCAATGCAATATATTGTTTTTACAGTATGTACTTCAATAGTTTTATATCAATGCAAAATATGATGATAGGTTCAATGTAATGTACTATTTTGTTTCATATGATGCAAAGTACTATTTTGTTTCATATGATGAAAATATATTTTGATGAAAAGTCCTGTTCTGTTTCATATTATTAATTTAAATATATTTTGTTTAATGTTGTTTTAATAATAATTTATATTAAAAATTGTTTTTTTTTATAGAAAATGGAAGTGGAACAATCACAAATTGTCAGTGAAGATGTTGCTCATCCACTTGAACAAGAGCAAGAAGTTCAACAAATACAATGAGAAGGGTTGTCATCATTGCCACCAAGTGCACTAATAGAGGTAAGCAAAAGAAAACCCTCTAGAAAACCTTCTACAGTTTGGAAAGATTTTAAAAGGGTTAATGATAAGGCTATATGTAAGTATTGTGGGAAACAATATGCTGCAAATAGTGGTAGTCATGGTACTACTAACATGCATAAACATTTGAAAATGTGCCTGAAAAATCCAAATAGGGTAGTTGATAAGAAACAAAAAACTATAGCTATTGGAAAAGAAAGTGAGGATGATCCTAATAGTGTTAGCTTGAAACTTGTTGATTTTAATCAAGAGAGGACTAGATTAACACTTGCAAAGATGATAATCATTGATGAGCTCCCTTTTAAATATGTTGAAAATGAAGGATTTAATATGTTCATGAAAGAGGCTCGACCAAGATTCAAAATTCCATCTCGTGTCACTGTTGCCAGAGATTGTTTATGCTTGTACTTCGATGAGAAAGAAAAATTGAAATCTATGTTGTCTGCTAATAAACAAATGGTGTCTCTTACCACTGATACTTGGACATCGATTCAGAATATGAATTATATGTGTGTTACAGCTCACTATATTGATGACGAGTGGAATTTAAAGAAGAGTATATTAAGCTTTGGTATAATTGCTGACCATAAAGGTGAAACTATAGGGATAACATTAGAGAATTGCATGAAGGAATGGGGTATCAAGTCTATATGTTGTGTGACTGTTGATAATGCAAGTGCTAACAATTTGGCAATTGATTATTTAAATCGAGGCATGAGTTTTTGGAATGGTCGTACTTTGTTTAATGGGGAGTACTTGCATATGAGATGTAGTGCTCACATATTAAACTTGATTGTCAAAGAAGGAATAAAGGATATTGATGAATCTGTTAAAAGAATTAGGGTTGCATGTAAGTTTGTCAAGGCTTCTCCTAGTAGGTTGACTACTTTCAAGAAGTGTGCAGAAGCTGTTGGTGTATGTTCTAAAGCATTGGTAACACTAGACGTAGAAACCAGATGGAACTCTACTTATTTAATGTTGAACATCGCTGAAAAGTATGAACATGCATTTTACCGCTTAGAACATGCTGATGTTGCATTTTTAACTAATCTCCGTATTGAGTCGAAAGGATGTCCTAATCGAGCTGATTGGGAACGAACTCGTATTTTTGTGAAGTTTTTGAAAACTTTTTATGATGCCACACTTTCTTTTTCTGGGTCATTGCATGTTACTGCTAACTCTTTTTTCAAACAGTTGATGGATATTAAAAAAACGTTGAATAAATGGAGGCACGATGTTAGTGATCCAATTTTGAAAACCATGACAGCAAATATGCAATTGAAGTACAACAAGTATTGGGAAAGCAATACAATAAATTATCTTCTCTTTGTTGCTATTTATCTTGATCCTCGTTATAAGCTTGACTATATTGAATTTTGTTTTACTCGGATGTATGGTGAAAAATTGTCAGAGGATATGTTAAAGAAATTGAAATCTCTCATTGCTAAATTGTTTGAGCACTATTTATTTTTGTATCCTGTTTCTCATGATGGTGGTTCCAATGCCTCATCTTCAAACATTGCCTCTCATTCTAGAATTGAAAATGGTGAAGATGATGAAGATTGGGACAATTTGTTTAGAATGAATATGAAGAAAAAACAATGTGAAGTGCAAAAAAATGAGTTGGAAAGGTATTTGGAGGATGGTGTTGAAGATGATTCTCCTACATTTAATATTCTCACTTGGTGGAAAGGAAAAACAAATAAATATCATGTGCTTTCCCGCATAGCTAGAGATATATTGGCTATCCCTGTATCCACTGTATCTTCTGAATCCGCTTTTAGTACAGGAGGTTGTGTACTTGATTCATTTCGTAGTTCCTTGAATCCCTCTACCGTTGAAGCTTTGATTTGTACTCAAAATTGGATCAAATCTCCTAAGGCCATTGATTTAGAAAAAGAGTTGGTTGAATTGGAAAAGGTTGAGTCAGGTATGAATTATATGTTTGAATTTTAAAATCTATTTTATTTTAGTATTACATTACATTATTCTTATTAGTTGTTTGTGTTTACATATATAAAGTTAGCTGGATTAGTTTCTATTGATGTTGGCATTACTGCGGTTGAGCTCAATACAACTGTTACTACTAGATTTTAAGGTATTTTCTAGTGTTGTTTTTTTTCTTCTTCTTTTGACTATTGTTGCTTAAACTTTTAACTGTTGTTGCTGGATTTTATGTTGTTGCTAAACGTTTCATTGTTGTTGCTGGAATCTTTTACAGCTACTGTTGCTGGATTTTCTGTTTTTGCTAAACCTTTCACTGCTGGTGCTGGAATCTTTTATAGTTGCTGTTAGATTTTGGCGCTATTAGACCAATATTGGACCAATACATCTATGTCATTTTAAGATTAAGTGATGTTTATTTGCTTTTGAATTATTTAGAATTTATGAATTTTATGGAAATGATATTTTATGGAATTTTATATATTATTAAGTGTTAATATATATGATAGTTTACGGACCTACTTTTAAGCATGTGCTAGAAAAGGTAACATTTGAGTATCAAAACAACTAATATATACTGTATATTATTATATATTTGTTTTACATATGTTGATATATATTTGTAATGGATAACATTTGAGTATCAAAATAACTAATAAATTTTTATAAATTAAGGTATATTAATGAAAATATATAAATAATTAATCATGTATATGTATCTTAATATTTTTTATGACAAAGAAAATACATTTCAAAATTTTAATTGTTATATTTTTAATTATTCTATTTTATATGTAGGATTTGTCTCCACTACGTAAATAATTTAATTGTTTGAAATATGCAAAATTATATTGAATTGTGTTATAGATTTTTTAAATTGAAAATAATAATTATTATATACACAACCCGTGAACCCAACCCTACCCAACCCGTAAATATCCGAGTTGATTCGGGTCGGTTTTTAAAGTAGAATTACGGGTTTAATGATAAACCCAACCCATTGAAAGTTGAACAGGTTGGGTAACGGATTAAGGCGAACTCGATCCAACCCAACCCGCGTACACCCCTAGTCACAATATTGTTTTGTAATTGGAAGACAAATCAAATTATAACCAAAAGAAAAAAAAAAGAATATCGATAAATTAATATGAATCTGATTTATATTTAAATAAAATAATGTAATTTCAAAAGAAAGAACTTAGGCGCTCGAGTTTTTAGAAACAACAACTATATATCCATCGTGCTTTTGAAGAAACCCTATAACTTCTCTTGACACAAGAATCTGTATATCTGCTCTTGACACAAGAAACCCTAATATTGAATTTTTAATATGAAGAGAAAACACGAAGGATCTTGTGCTGTGGGAATAGACCTTGGCACAACGTACTCATGTGTTGCAGTATGGCAGGAAGAACACTGTCGAGTTGAGATCATTCACAACGATCAAGGCAATAGAACTACGCCTTCTTGTGTTGCCTTCACTGAAAATCAGAGATTGATCGGTGATGCTGCTAAGAACCAAGCTGCTGCCAACCCTCAAAACACCGTCTTTGGTAATTTCTACTCTTTTTCTCTTCTAAAAGCTTGAAACCCTAATTACAAATTATTTATAACAAGTTTATAAATCTTTTTAGAATTTTCCTATTAGTTTAGGGACCATATGAGCAACTAAACCTTATTCTTATCTTTATTTTTTTCAGATACTAAGAGGTTAATTGGTAGAAAGTTTAGTGATCCTATTGTTCAAGATGATATGCTTTTATGGCCATTCAAGGTCATTGCTGGTGACAATGACAAACCCATGATTATGGTTAAGTACAAGGATCAAGAAAAGCAACTATATGCCGAAGAAGTATCATCTATGGTACTCACCAAAATGCGAGAGATTGCTGAGACATATTTAGAATCGAATGTTAAGAATGCAGTAGTTACTGTGCCAGCTTATTTTAATGATTCTCAACGAAAAGCCACTATAGATGCCGGTGCTATTGCTGGCCTCAATGTTATGAGAGTAATGAATGAACCTACTGCTGCAGCTGTTGCGTATGGTCTTGACAAGAGAACTAACTGTGATGGAGAAAGAAATATTTTTGTGTTTGATCTTGGGGGTGGCACGTTTGATGTTTCTTTGCTAACCATTAAGGGTAATGTGTTCAAAGTAAAGGCAACAGCTGGAAACACTCACCTTGGTGGAGAAGACTTTGATAATAGAATGGTGAGCTTCTTTGTACAAGAGTTCAAGAGAAAGAACAAAGTCGACATTAGTGGGAATTCACGACCTATGACGAGGCCGAGAAAGAACAAAGTTGACATTAGTGGTGGGATGTATTCAAAAGCTTTGAGGAGGTTGAGAACGGCATGTGAGAGAGCAAAAAGGTCACTTTCTTTCCTTGTTACCGCCACTATTGAAGTAGATTCTTTATTTCAAGGCATTGACTTTTCTTCATCAATCAATAGAGCCAAATTTGAGGAAATGAATATGGACCTTTTCAATGAGTGTATAAAGATTGTTGAAAGTTGTCTATTGGATGCTAAGATGGACAAGAGCATGATAGATGATGTTGTCCTTGTTGGTGGGTCTTCTAGGATTCCAAAAGTACAGCAGCTATTACAGGACTTTTTCAATGGGAAGGAGTTGTGCAAGAGCATTAATCCTGATGAGGCTGTAGCTTATGGGGCAGCTGTTCAGGCTGCTATGTTGAGTGCAGACATTAAGAATGTTCCAAAGTTGGAGCCGCATAATAATTCACAGTTGGTGCTGCATAATATTCCACAGTTGGTGCTGCAGGATGTTACACCTTTGTCTCTTGGTATATCTGCATTAGGAGATATCATGAGTGTGGTGATTCCTAAGAATACTTGCATTCCTGTCAACCAGACAAAACCGTTTGTTACAGCAGTAGATAACCAAACCCGTACTTTGTTTAAGGTTTATGAGGGTGAGAGAACAAGAGCCAGTGACAACAATTTGCTTGCTTCCTTTTCTTTTTCTGGCATTCCCCCAGCTCCTCGTGGCAGCCATCTCGCAAATGTTTGTTTTGCTATAGATGAAAATGGTATTTTGACTGTTTCAGCTAAGAACAATGCTTCTGGAAGTTCGAACAAGATTACAATAACCAATCACAGAGATAGATTGTCAAGTGAGGAAATTAAAAAATTAATTCAAGAAGCTGAGAATTACCATATTGAAGACAAGAAATTCCTCCGGAAGGCCACGGCTCTGAATGCATTGGATGACTACATTTACAAAATGAGAAATGCTTTAAAGAAAGAGGATGTTGATACAAAGCTCTCCCCGGAAGAAATTGAGAAGATCAGATCTACAATTGTGGTTACAACATATTTGGTTGATGAGAATAACCATGTGGTTGAAATAGATGATTTGGAGGATCATCTAAAGGAGCTTAAAACTAGTATGGACCACATTATTGCTAAGACTATTTAGCTTTTTATTAATTTTTTCCTAATTAAGAATTTAAGTATTTTCTTGCTATTTAGACTTCATTATCTAATGGTTAAAAAGGTTATGTTAAATTTCTGGTGGAAACATGTTATATAAACGATTCAAACAACAATGTTCTTAAACCATTATGATTACATGTTTCTTTGAGTCTTCTCCAAGATTTTAATCTGCTACATAATCAGTTGGCTGAAGCAATTTGTTATGAAAAGAAAGCATGGAAACTTGGCATAATATTTAGTATTACAGAAAAGTGAAGAAGTGGTTAAAGATGATAAAACAAAAGCATGCAACGGTGTTAGTTAGTTACATAGTTGGTTAGAAGTTAATTGCCTGTTGTTACACTATATAAACCAATGTAATTGATATTTATAATTGAGAAAGAAGTCATTTGAACACTCAAATTTGCATATTGTGAACTGTTCTTGATAGTCACTTATTTAAACTTGTATGTTTAGTTTTGTCAAATTGTGATTCAAATTTAATCATGTAGTAATCTTAAACGTGACAGTTATATCTAATATAATGTTATATGCAAAAGAATCACTTACTTCCTAATTTCTGATATATTTTTAAGATAATGATTTATTTGCCTAGTCCGCTGAGGAGATGCTAAACATAGACCTCGAACTAGCCTGACATTCCTTGACTTTACATTAAAAAAAAATTGTATGTTGCCTAAAATCAGTGGAAACAATCACCTGAGAAGAAAGAAACTAGCCAGTACTAAAGAAAGTTGTAGAATATATCATGAGAATCAACTTTGTATATGAGACAAGATTTACCTACCACATAGCTATCAAATGTCGTACTTATCAAGAAGATGAACAACAAATGGAGAATGTGTCGAGCATCTCCCAAATATGCTTACCCCTTACCCATCATCTACAAGCTAGTAGATTATTCATCGGAATTCATGCTCGTATCTTTTATCGATGCATAATCAGGGTACAAGATACCGATGGAGCCTAAGAGCTGCGTTCGAACTTAATATAATGCATGAGCAATTTAACTTATTAGCGAATGATGAACAGAGTTGTCACATACCATATCAAATACGTGATGGAAATATACATGAATGAACTGACATGAAATCCACTAAGAAAGAAGCTCACAGGTTCCATCTAGAGGTGGTCTTTAAAAAGGTGTTAGTCTCTCTCACATTTTCTTGCTAGGTCGGCCCACCATGCACTACCATTATACAAGTTATTGAGGAAATAAGCGTCCTTCAAATGGTTCTTTGAGTGTGAGGTAGCATTCTACAAATTCAGACAAGTATTGTCTCGGCCTCCTGCCCTAACTAGATCCAAGGACATGGAGACTTTGTTTGTTTATTTGCCTGTATCATTAAAATCCATTGAAGCCTTCTTGGTAATGAAAGACAAAGAGTCTTAGAAACCTACTTATTTCACTGGAGTGGATTATAAGCATCAGAAACAAGATACCAGAAGTGGCACCTGACTTTTGTTAGAAAACGACAGCAGGCTCACCATAGAGATAACAATGAGGTTAGAAAACGACAACAGGCTCACCATAGAGATAACAATGAGGTTAGAAACTCCAACATCCAGCAACAAGTCATACTACATAACATGTTTGGTCGCTCTTTATAGAGCTACAGGTATGGGAGTCGCAAACGTAATGCTCAAGACTGACTCTCATACAGTGATGTCCCATACAATCGGACTATTAGGGGGAGGACCTAACCATAAAACAATACTTGATGATTGTAAATGCCTCTATAAAAAACATTCAACAAGGGGAATGTGCATCATATACTTAAGAAGTAAAACTCCAAGGTCGTGTCTAAACTACCAAAAAAATTCAACAAGGGGAATGTGCATCATATAATTAATTTTATTTTTAATTTGTTTATTAATATTTTTTTTTAAAAAAACATAAAAACATAACTTTTAATTCTTTTTATTCTTTTCTTATCATAAAAAAACACAAAAACATGATTTTTTTTGTCTTATTATAAAAAACAAAAAAAAAACATAATTTTTAATTCTTTTTATTTTTGTCTTATCATAAAAAACACAAAAACATGATTCTTAATTCCTTTTATTCTTGTCTTATTATAAAAAACTAAAAAATATTGTGTTAATTGTTATTATCATTCTTGTCTATTTTCTAGTCTTATATATGTGCATTAGAAAAAACAAGCAATCACACACACACAAAAAAAAACTCATATCTGATCCTCGTCACATCCAAATTGCAAAGTTTTTCATAAACCACGACGTGACATCGACAGAGAGGGCAGCGACGCAAGAGAAAAAGCCGTTTAAGGGAGTGCATGTGTATATGAGTTAATAGCATGTCAAGTTATAATAAGGAAAGTCTTTGTACAAATATTTTAAATGTATTTATGTTGTATTACATGGTGTGGTTGCTCAAACATTGATTCTTTTTTTTAATAATATTTTATTTTTCTTCTTTTCTTTTTTTAATTGATTTTTCATAATCTAGAAAATTAAAAACATTTTTCTTGACTATTTGTTAATTGTTACATTTTGAAATTATTTTCTTTAATTAGTTCCTCTTTAATTTAATTCATATAATATTTCAAAAGTACCAAAAATATTTTAATTATTTATTTTCGTTTTCTAGTTATTTATTTATTTGTTTAATATATATATATATATATATATATATATATATATATATATATATATATATATATATATATATATATATATATATATATATATATATATATATATATATTTTGTAATTATTAGTTAATATAAATATAAATATTTAAATTAATTAATAATTTCTTGCTACACGTCCAAGGGAAGGATTTTGTTCTTGACTTCGTAGTCATGAACGTCTTATCCATTTGCATCATTTTCCCCTACTTGATCCCTGATTCCTTTTAGGTTGATCGGCTTAGGATATACTTCTTATATCTTAGGATAGATTCCCTTTAATTTTTCAACTTTAGACAACTCAAGTTAAATCTCATTCTCACAAGAGAATCAGACATGATTTATCTATGTAGTCAAGATATGATTCTCCTACCCTACAATATAATCAAGAAAGATGTAGAATCTTTTCTGCTTGAGATAGGTATGTGGCGTACTCGTCGATTAAGTCTGAGTTGGAGCCCTTCTCTCAATTTGACGCAAAGACTGTCTTCTATATGTTTGTGGTGGTTTAAATCGAGTATTCTCCATAAGATGACGACTTGTCTCTTCTCCTAGAGTCAATCAACAAACCTTCTCCCGTGGAATCTTGACCACAGTCAAGAGTTCTTCAATCCCTTGAGGGGAACTACGAATGCTCTGATTCCATTCCCGCTAGGATACGTAGGCATGAGATGTGTGTCTTGGCAAGTATACTTAGAAATAACACCTTAGGTTTCTTTACCTTTTCACCCTTTAGCAGACAAAATAACAAATAACACAATAAAACAAGAGGTTCCTGTAGAGTACTATAGATACTTAGGATGCTAACACTTTCCCTAGGTATAACCAACCTCGAACCTTAGATTCTCTTTTGCTTTATTTTTGCATTGCATATTTTGGGTTATCTGCTCTTTTTCCCTTCTCTCGGATAAATTAAAGATTGGTGGTGAATTAAGATTTGTGATTCAAGTTAATTCAATAGCTTGATATCCAATTCTCACCGCGACAGAAATTACGACTTCATTGCGGATTTCTTCTTAGGGTTCCCCCTAACTTGTTTATTTGTGTTTATTGTGGTATATATATATATATATATATATATATATATATATATATATATATATATATATATATATATATATATATATATATATATATATATATATATATATATATATATATATATATATATATATATATATATATATATATATATATATATATATATATGCTTATCTGTATATATTATTTCTGCTTTGGGTTGTTACCTTTGTGTGGTGAGAAAAGTCCAACATCCAGACTTGAGTGTACTTATGATAGAAAAGTGATATATTCAAGAAGACTTATATGGAGTTGATTCCCGATCAAGCTAACTTGAGAAATCATCACTTGATTGAGACTCTCTTAAGAATAACGTTGTTGAACGAGTATTCGTGAAAACACTTACTATTTTAAACCTAGGAGCCTGTGACATTGAGAACCTTTAGTTACCTTTAACTTAACTTGGCTTTCTTAGGACATAGTGTGATGACTATGAGGGAGTAGTCTCAAAATAGTTGATACGCGATACTACACTTGAAAGAGGTTCTCTTGAGAATATTATTAACTATCGAGTATTTGAGAAATTAATAACATCCGAAAGATGGACTAATGACTTTGGAAACTTTTAGAACCTTTGATCTGCAGGTACAATAAACCCTTAGTCCACACCATTTGGGATGGGTAGACCATTACTCCAGGCTCGTTGATTTTCGAACCTAAGTCTTTGTCTGCTTGAATGTATATGTGTATATATGAAATCTGTATGTACCTATGTTTGAGCATACATGCACTCATAAATATCATGTTCATAAAAGTTTCATGGAATTCAAAGCTTTTGTTTAGAAACATCATAGGTTTTACCATTGGATTTTAAAATTATACTCTATTTTTAATAAAATGATATTCTCAGTTATCAAAAGTGTCGTCCACTTTGTGGTGTTTGCAAACATAACCTTTGAGTTTCTTGAAATTCATTTGCATTGGTGCATTTGCATTCGTCATTAGTATTGCATTCTTTGCATCTTAGGTTTTCACTCTTGCTTCTTCCTTTGGAGGAGACAAGCTAATTCATCACTACGATACTCAGACCAATCAAATAAAGAAGATGGATAACAGTGAGCAAGAAAACCATGAACTCCGTAAGGAGGTGACTACTTTGAGGGCTGATGTGGAAAGACTCTCTTCTTTGGCTGAAACTCTGGTTGCTACTCAAAATCAACCTTCTCCTCATATTTCTCAGACTCCGCTTCAAAGGACCGTGATTTCTAAAATCATGTCAATGCTCATTTCTGTGACTCCCATTAGCGCTTC